CTCAAACTTGTCAAAGATGCAGTCGTTTTCATAGAGGGAACACAGTTTACTCCTTAGGTACTCATGGACCTGGGGATCATGCAGACAGTCAGTGTTAGTTTCTGAGTAGCACAGCATCTACAACAAGCTGCATGTGTTCATATTCTGGTTAGATGTCATATTCATCTCCTTCTTCCTTCCTTCCTTCCTTCCTCCCTACATACATTGTTTCTAGATCTAATGCTATGTTAGACTGGCTAATGATATAACCTTTCGACAAATAATTATTGTCTGTAAATTGTTAGATTAATGTCATCTACAAAATATCAGCAAAGAGAAAAAAATGCACATCCAGTCTTTCAGAGCTCAAATGAATTGTTTCAAAATACCTAAAGATATTAGAATCACAATGATACAAAACCCAGGAAAACAGCAAATCCTCCAGCGTATAATTGATACATTTTTATAGCCATTACTCAGTTATCATATTTCTTGTGGATTCATTTTCAGTGAGATAAGGGTGTAATCAGCAATTCTGAAGAAAGACTGTTTGTATGTGAACTCAACAGCCATGTTGTGGAGTTAGCCTGTGCCAGATTTAACGTCGCTCTCGCTCCCACTGCTCCTTTTTCCCCATCTCCCCTTCCCCCTGTCCTGCCATGTGCATGAACATGAACGCCTCCTGTTGCTGATTGGCTGGAATTGTGTTGTGTGACTCGGCCGAGCAACTTTATTTGTTTCCTATATTCAAAGCCAGGGCTGGGTACAAACACTGTAAACTAAATTAACTAATAATTTTAGCACTAATTGGTAATGTTAACATTTTCACACCTAGTCAAAGATACATTTGGCTAAAAAACCAATGCAGGCTACAAGGGCTATTTAATCAGAACTTGTGGGCATACATTCAATCACCACAGTTTATAGATTTTAACTGACACATTGAAGAACTACAAATCAGGAGACAGATGTGCCATCTTACCTGGTACGTCTCCACAGGGCCCTTGTCCATGTTCAGGTCCCACACCTTGGCGGTGAGGTAGTCTCTGGTCAGCAGGTAGCGTCCACTGTGGCTGAACTTGACGTCCGACACCGAGGAAATGATCTCTGAGAAGAAGGACCGGCTCCCTGGATCCTCAGGCTCTTCAAACACTGACCAATGACAGAGTGGTAACATGTATTTTATTGATTATTTACAAGTACAATTTTTTTCTGTGAGACGCAAATGAGCTCTCTACACAGCTCCACAACATGCTCACGTTTGGTGTGTTTGTCACAGAGTGCGGAGGCTCTCATGTCACAGAGGCGGAGGGTGCCCTTGCTGCTGCTGTACACAAACAAGTGGCAGTGGTGAGGGTGGAACTCTGATGCTGTTATCACCTCTGTCAGATCCTCCATGTTGGCTGGTTTGATGTCCACAATATCTGAGAAAAAGGTCTGTTAGGGATTAAACACCACAGAGATGGCACCACATGCCTGGGAGGTGGCAAACAGAGCAAACCCTGAAATGGGTAGACAAAGTATGATGACAATGCATATGGTATGATATATGGATGCCCAGGAAGTACATACACAGTGAGGCATGCCATGTCACCCAATATCTTTTTAATTTTTAGTTTTAAATGATTTTTTTTTCAGTAACATCAAGTTCTCCATGCACCTCAATCCCTAATCACAACCCAGAATGCTCCCCAACCAACCCCCAATATGCATGCACACTCTGCTCCTCTCTCTGTTCTATTTGTGGTAGTCCTGTGTGGTTCAGTAGAAAGTGTACTGCTGAGTGAATTATTTAAACTCTTCTTCCATAGATGCCTCTATGATTTTCTAGGTCAGCTTCCATTTGAATGGGAAATCACCAAACGGCCCCCGTCCAACACGCTACAGCCTGAATACACACTCTGAGGTGGTACACGGCACTCTGATCGAAACATAAATCCAAACATACTCATATGCAGTTTACATTAAATATATATCCAGGATGAATTCAGATGAGCAAGAATGTAAAGTATATTTCAAACGTATTTATATTTTAAGAGGGGGAATTGTGCGCGTGTGATAGTAGCAGATGGCACTTAACAGCAAAACTGACAAATACAAACTATGCACACTAGGTTTCAAAGGCAGGTATTTCTGAAACACAGCATGCCATACACATGTACAATATAGTCTATGTGAATCTACTTCAGAGATCTTCAAACCGCTGGTATCTACATCTTGGCACATGAACACTGTTAAATGTGATCACTACAAGGTTTTTGTCTGCCCTGACAAAAATGTTATTTTGCTCCAATCCAAATGTGGCTGTCCTAATTTAACGAATGTCAATTGAACCCCCCCAAAAAATAAGTAGGTTATTATTACACAATTTAAACTTTAGTATATAGGAAAAGGCACAGTGGCATGCACTAGGGGTTGCCACTATACATCTATCCTACTCTTATTTTGTTCCTTATTCCTGTTCCATAAATAGATTTTTACTTAAAATGCAGAGTTAGTTGTGATGATACACACTAATACTTTAGTAACGGTGAAAATAATAGCCCCAATGATCTACTTTGTACTTTTATTTAGTGAAGTTCTAGAAATTCCATACCCCGTGAAATGTGAGTGGCCTCCTCCAGTGAAAGATTACATTACACACAAAAATCTGAGGCCAGCTACTGTTACAGGAAGCAGAGGATGATGTGAGCACGGTAAAAATGAAATGGGTATGACATAAACAAAACAAATCACTGTTAGGAAGGATACTGAAGCTGCGGTCTGTGATGCCCAGGTGCCACATATTGATGCGGAGGTCATCAGCAGACAGGTAGGTCTCCCCATCGCTGTTGACTGAGATGGAGTTAACATGGTAGGTATGTCCGTTGGAGAACACTCGCCTGGGACGAACCTCTACCATCAAGTCTGTAGGTTTCAGCACCGGCACCTTCGGTACAGAGACAGGATGGATTAATGATGGAGGGAAAGAAAGAAAGAAAGCAGAGGTAAAAAATAGGGTGATAGAAGGACAACAAGGAAGACATAAAGGACAAAACTGGAGGACATAAGAGTCAGGAATCATTATGCTAGAAAGACATGAAACGTATAGACAGTGGGCTGGTCAACTGAATGTCAACTTGATAGATATAGTATTTGACTGACCAAAATAATGGTGTGCATGTGCAGGCTTGCATGTTTGTGTGTGTGTGTGCATGCACCTGCAGAGAGGTGATGGTAGAGACGTCCTTGAATCGTCCCTCCTCATCTTTCAGGTTGTATCCCTCTGGTCTCTTGTCTCTCTCACTCACCTTCCACAGTTTAATGGTCTTATCTGTGACAGGAACAATAATTTGGAAGCTAATCACAGGAAGCTCAGAGAAAGCAGACAATTAAAGCTATAGACAACTGATAATGATTTCTTCTTCATATTTCTTATTTCTGAGGCAATCCAGATGTGCAAAATTTTCATTAGTACATATGAAAATTGTACTTTTTTGGTAAATTGATCCCTGTCTCACATATTTCAGGGCATTAAGTCTCATGACAGGAGTATAATTAAAGCACACATTCTGTGGGTTTTGATACTGACAGGTTGGTGCCACTAGTGTACCCAAAAATTGGACTCCGATGACTGCTGGACTGATGTTATTTTATCCCATCCAGGAAATAGAAGATTAAGCTAGGCTGGCATAACTGAAGGTAGGTTATGCTAATGTCATTTCAAATATCAATCAAAATTCATATTCACTGTTAATATGTCACAGTACAAAATAATACACAGGTCTACTTTTTGAGCTTCACCATAACTGGGGATTAGAAATATGGTGATCTCCTGGTGTCTGTGGTTTCTTACCGTTGGTGGAGAGGAGGAAGTGTGCTGCATTCTGCTGTGGCAGCCATCTGATCTTGTTGATTTTCTCTTCAATCTCCAGACTCTTCAGGTAGTCAAAGTCTGGCTCGTGGCTCTGGAACGTGCTGTAGACATTGTACTCCCCGGAGTCCCCCGTCTCCCCCACCTCCTCCAACTCCCCTTTAGACTGTCCAGGGCAAATAGTGGGAAAAAAATAAGCTCTGAATGAACATTTATGCTTAGAGATATAACAGAAGAACATCCCGGCTTCAGTGTTTGTGGATATCCTCGGTATAGAATGGGGAGAGTAACATATTAAACTGACCTCAGTCTCTCTCTGGAAAATGACCACTCTGCCACCTTTATCCCCCGTGGCCAGCAGGTCCCCCGTCTGGTTAAACTCCACCGTAGAGATGACATCAGCTGGGAGGACGGTGGGAAAAATATGTGAAATGATTAAGCAGCATAATGGTTAGAATAAAAAAAGGGGTAAAGGAGAGAAAGACAAAGAGATGATAGATGAGTAGAAAGGAAATTAAGTAGGTACAGGGGAAATGAGAGGCATAGAATTAAGAGACAATGAGAAATGTGGAAGGGGAGGGGACGAAAGAAGAACATACTGGATCAATACAAAGTATCACGTTCAATGAAACCAGAATAACTCTTACTCATGATGCTTGAACCTGACATGGATAAATTTTAAATGGGACAAGAAGATAACCACCAAATATTATTTCTGCTACCTTCAGCTCCTTAGATTCCAAACCATAAATCAAACATGTATCTGTCACAGGACTATATGATGTTGTAAAATCACATTTAAAATTGAAAACAGGCCCAACAGTGAGCGTTCAGTAAGTCATGGAGTGATTAATGTCAACATCTATTCCCTATATCCAGCGGTGCAGGGATAATGCCCCCATGAAGCTGAAATGAACACATTCAATCATACCAGCATGTTATCTGACACCACAGAGACGGCGATGACACACCGTCTGTGCTACCTTCAGTGACGTAGTCTCGCAGGAAGGTGTGGTTGATTTTCGGGCTCTCAGCGTCCTCGCCCATCTGAAGCTGAGGGAGGGTGACCCGCCAGCGCGCCCGTCCTGAGGGGAAGGGTCCAATCCGTGCTCTCTCTCTCCACCCAGGCTCCGCCCATGCTGCTAGGGCCTAGCGGAGCGGAGTGGAACAAGGCATCCTGGGAACACCAGCCAGCCGGAAGGGGAGAAGAGGCGTGAGGAGGACAGAGATGAGAGTGAAGAGGGAGGAGAAAGAGTGTTTTGAGGAAGAGGGAAATGAGTGAGAATGGAAAAAAGAGATGCAGGAGGATAGAAAAGTGGCGAGGTAGAAGACCCGAGGCAGGGAGAAGGGGATGGAAAGGCTGGTGATGAAGTTCATTTTGGAGAGAAAAGAAAGAGGGCTGTCATTAGGCAGGCTGACAATACATGCACACAGCATGCCAAATGGTGTGACCTTTGTTAGACATTCAACACACTCATTAGCAAAGACACACGTGTGCAGTCGCACAAGGCCTAGTCAACGCTGAAGCAAATCCCAGAGCTGTGGGAGTGGAGGAAAAACAACAAACACCTTCAGCAAAGGAACAGAGAATATAAATCCTTCTGCATGCACGCAGAAACAAGTACAAGATGAAGAGGATATCAGTGTGAAAAAATCCATTGCAACATTCACCCTGTGTAGCTCCGGCAGTGGTAGTAAATGCTCCCAAGGTGTGGTAGTCCTCTCTGCCTACTTTCCAGATCCCTGCTCTCACACACACGCACACACACACACTCTTCTCAAATAGATAGTCCTTGACGGAGATCAGAGGAGAACGCAATGTCTTGCCTGTGCTGCAGGAGGGAGATAGGGCCTCAGCACACCTACCAGTCCGCCTGCTGCTGCTGCTATCCCTGCCTGTCTGTCGGAGGGAGAGGAGGAGGGAGAGAGAAGATAGAGCAAGGGTGGTGGTGAGAGGATGAGAGGCAAAGGAGGAGAAAAAAGAGAAGGAGAGAGAGGGATAACGAGGAGGATGGAGGTCTGCTGCCTGCTGATGCTGTGGAACTGATTCTGTGCAGCATCCACTGTGTCATGGCAGCCTCCTCCTGGAGCAGCCAATCACGACACAGCTGTCACTCATGGATCCACCCACTGCAGATGGTTAAGAAGTAAGAGGCCAGCAGAGGGAGCAGTTGGACACTGAGAGGTGCTTGGTTAAGCACTGGAAAAAATCAGAATAACAAAAAAGGAAAGACTTAAATTACATCAGAGAGTTGCTTTTAAATGAATTAAAGGCTCACACAGCACTTTCCTGACTGTGTTGTGGTTCTCTTATCACACAACAGTGCTGTCTGGCAATCTCAGAGGTTGGCCAACACTGGAATTAGACATTTTCACTGACTGTTTGATAAGCATTTTCCTTTTACAGCAATGTTTGGCATTCCCTCAACAAAATACACTGCTGATTATGTAACCTATATCCCTCCCTATTTCTTACATACATGCTCATTATCATGTTGCCCTTATTTCTCTTTAACATTATACCGAATTTTACATCTCTTTGTAGATGATTTCTACACTTTTAAACCTGCATGTACTATACTATATTATAAATGGTAGTATACCATCTATATCTTTATTATCACACAATACTGGACATGTTTTCACCGTGGATGTCTGCATGATTTGGTGCACTCCAATAAAAACTGTATAAAACCTTAAGGAACGTTTTAAGTTGCATTTTGTCTGTTACAGATTACTATATTCATTTCACATTACATAATAATAATAATTAAAGCAAAGCTATAATACTACCCACCAGTATTTACAACTGAAAAATGTCTACTGTGTCTGTTTTTAAGACACTCATTAACATCCTGAACTGAACCAGAGAGGCTAAAATATTCTTTGTGCAAATTATTCTCAGTATGTGAGTGATAAGGGGTACCAAGGGACATTTTTTGTGTATTACCACAACAGACAGGCAGTAACTGAGGAAACTAGAGCTTTCCTCAGGTAGTCTAATGCAAACTATGACAGGGAATCATAGCAGTAATTTCATGATGGAGCAACGCACCAGAGTTTGGACCCAATCCATTTATTCTGTAATGAAGTTTAAATCGGATCCCTTTAATGAATAAACCTGTGGCGCCAGACCAGCTAAATAAAGGTCAGGGGATTACCTTGACGCAATGGTTTCCATTGGCTCTACAGTCATCGCTCTCCTCCTCCCTGGCACCTCACATTAGTCTGCCTCACTACCTCCACGCAGCAGGTGTTAACTCTCTTCTAGATAACTCAGACAAACTCAAACTGAGTTTAGTCGATCTTTTCTCGCTTTATTTGAGCGAGGGGATGCCCTGCCTGGTCTCCATGGAGTTAAGCAGCGCGACTCCCGGCGCATCTCCCTCCGCTTCCGCCACTGGGACAGAGGAGTCCTTCCGCAGTGAAACAGCGTCTGCCCCGCCGATGGTAAAGGGTATGGGCTGGTTCTTCTCCCCGCTGTGGAGCCCCCGCGCCTCCAAGAAGCAGAGCAAGAGGTTTGGAGGCGGCATGAAAAGCGACCAAGTGGAGGCATGGCTGGATGACCACTCCGACTTTACGAGGGCGTACTTTTTACGCAGAGCCTCCGCGTAAGATATTTAAACTATAGACCTAAATTACGGACGGACTGAATGATTTACTGTATGTTGTATGTTGTATGTGTTTTAAAAGTGATTGCAAAAAGGCAGTGTCGTTTCCAGTGTCTTTTCTACTATATTCTTCATGTTCTGATTTGTGCGTTCCCAGTTAGTTGTGTAATGTGTCTTGTCTGTGATTCCAGGGTCAGTGGTCCACAGGCAGAGACCTCTCCACTGCTGCCCAGGAGGAGCAGCTCTGAGCACTCTGACCTGCTCATGAAGGCTCATCATCATCATCACAGAGCTTCCTCTCCAGTGACCGGCTCACACTTGAACATTTCATCCCCCATGGACAGGCTCAAACCCCTCAATTGCAATCTCAGCGCCCCAGAGTGGATGGGGTGTTCTGGATGCAGTCCAGATATATTGTGCTGTCACTCCCCTTGCTCTCCCCGCTCTTCACACTTCTCTTTTTCTCCCTTCCGTCCACTTTCTCCGGTGTGCCCTTGCTCCCCCGAGTTACCCCACTCTCCTCTGCCCCTGCGACCGTCTGCTGCAAAGGCTGCAGCCTGTGGCTATGGTGAGTGCTGCCCATGGATGATGGAGCTCCTGAGAGGAGGCCTCAGCTGGATGGGCTCTGTAGCAGAGCTCTGCCAGGGGGTCGTCCTGCATGCCGGGGAGCTGCTGGCAGCTGAGGGCAGCTCCCTCTCTCTGGTAAAGAAAGAGAGCAGTGGCAGGACCGTCTTGGAGGAGGTTATTGCCCTGACTGCATTGGGGTGCTCGAGAGAAGACAACGTCTGCAGCCGTGCACACCTGGAGTTGGTGAAGGGTATCATGGGTTGTGTACTGGCTACAAGGTCACCAATGAATCTGAGAGATGTTTCAGAGGTACAGCTGACGCATTAGTTGTAGTCATGACTCTGCATTTTGTAATAAGCACTGCTTTACACACAACAGACTACAGTTTCTATACTTTTAACGCAGAATGAGGACTGTACATTAAATGAGTCGCTCATTTCCTGATAGTGTGTGTTTAGATGATGATGATGGCTATTTTGTGGAGTGTGGGAGTGTGTAAGGGAATCCCAGATGACGCACGTGCTTCTAATCCTTTTAGTGGCTTCTTCTTGCTCTGATTAACCTTTCATTATTGAGACGGTGATGTTCTCTTCCACGATCTAGAGCTCACTTAAGGGCTTATTGTAATAGGTATGTGGCCAAACCACCCTTCCATGTCCTCAACACCAATTTGATTACGCCTGGCAGAGCTGCGCACCGGGTAATCCCAATGAGCATGGGCGTGTTTGGGTAGTTCCTAGTAACCTGGCCGGCTGGCTAGGAAGTTAAAGGACACGGGGGTATGATTAGAGTTAATTTTGGGTAGGTGTTTAAGTCTGTTGCTGCCAAATTACATAATGATCTTGATACACACAATAGCAAAGTACATACGATTAACACACACATGTATCAAGTTAAATATACACACAAATGTTTCCTTCGGCCTTAATGGGATAAGGGTTGTGCTTGTCTGCAGTGTTATGTACTTAAGTGTTCTTTGTTTACCTCCTCAGGACCCCAGATTTAATTTAGATGACGAGCACTCATCAAAGATCAGGGGTGTTTTGAGCATTCCCATCAAGAACCACAGGGGAGAGGTAACATTCAGAACTGTGTTTACATTTATTTTAAGATTATTTTTTGCACGTCTCTTGCTTAATCAGGGTGACCATATATAAACACACTCCTGCAGAGCTTTTAGTGGGATTAACGTTGATATATTGCAGCAGAGGTTATAACAAAGTTACAATAAAACGTCTTCTTTTTGTGGACAGATGATCGGTGTAGTGTTAATGATCAATAAGAGAAATGACTGCGATGGATCAGCTTCTGCTTTTACCAACATGGATGAAAAGGTGGGGACGGGAAGTTTGGGCCCGTTACTACAGGGCAGCAAATGTTAGAGCCCTTGGTTATTGATATATAATACTGTCTGTCATTTGAATGCATATATATATGTACAAAAAGGTTATCAAGAAGTGACTGTTAATTAAAGTTTGAGTTGAGTTTGAGTTGACTTTTATTGGCCAGGTGCTGTCCAATCATATGGATGTGTTGGGGATGGTCCTGGATAATGTTCAGCTGTATGAGAGCTCAAGACAGGAGGCCAAACGCAGCCAGGTAAAAACACCAGCAAACAATATGAAATCAGTCTATTTCTATGTATATATGTTTAGGTAATATATCTGTCTGTCTCT